CAATTGTGTGCAGCAAGGCACTCACTGTGGGGCACTAATCCAGCAGATAGCTGGAACTAGATGATCTTTAAGATCCCTTTTAGAACCCAAGCCATACTAAGACTGATAGTATGCTCTGACGATTTCCCAGGGCTGCAACCAGACTGCTTGTTTGCTGCTTCTTTAGAGGACATCCCAAGCGAACATAACCAATGCGCCAAATTCCCAGCTGAAGCCTGCCTGTATAAACTGTCCTGCAGTGAGATCCAGAGGAAAACACAAGACAGTCCTTCCAGTCTTACAAAAAGGAATAAGACAGGAAGGCTTATTTTGCACAAAAAAGAGTTCTAACTGTAATGGTTTAGTCTGACCTACATAGAATTTATAAGGAACTTAGTTCAGGTCATCTAGACCTTAAATTGTTAAAACCTTAAATTGTAAAAAAAAAAAAAAAAAAAAAAAAAAAAAAAAAAAAAAAAAAAAAAAAAAAAAAAAAAGAACATAGTGAAAAAAATATATATATTACCATTTTCAAATACGTATAGAAATCTATCAAAGGAAGCTTGAAAGTAACAGACACGCATTCCTGAGCAAGAATAAAGCGGGACTGGAAATTCACCCTGACCTGTTCCAGCATGTTGAATTCTCAGCTGTATTTGGATGAACTTGGAAGCGGTTGCTCACATCCCTCACATCAGAGCATGCTGAGCCGGAGCAAAGGCAGAGGGATGCACACACAGCAGCAGCACCTGGAGCTCAGCAAGCTCTCTTGCCAGGCTTTTCCTAGAGTATGCTTGACCCCGGCTCCAGCTTCACTGTCAGCAAGTCTCTGTAGATTCCTTCTCATTGAGAAAAGGATTTTAATAGTAATCCACTGCTGGGATTAAAGATGGAATAATGCATAACAATATGTAATAAAATACGAACATGGCTTTATCTTACATAGCAATTAATGGCTGAATGATTTCCACATGGATGCATAGATAATCACAAGATTTATCCTGCATTTATCAGACAGACAGCAAAAGCCAGAGTAGGTCAGCGGGTCATTAGGGCAAGGTGGTTTTGTGTCTGGAATCAAACTGCCAATTAAAAAAGTATTTGAAGACTGAATTCTGTATTGTTTCAGTTTATACAAAAATCAATAACTTCCATAAAAAAATGTAGGTGTACCTAAAAGAAGACAAACAGAACATAAATGTTTATGTGTCAGAGCATGTGAATATTGAATAAAGCATTCACACCAGAATTCAATGTAGCAGTTGGTAGCTTAAGTATTTTTATGGCAGCACTCTAAGTTTTCTGATGATGTTTCTTCAAATGTAGCCGAGTCCTGCGGGAAACAGAAGGTGTCCTTTGGAGGACCTGCTGGATCACTCCATGTGAGGAAGCAGATGGAGTCGCAGCTTGTTCTTCCATTTTTGTGGGAAGATATTTTTGGTAAAAGAGAAGAGTTCTGGTCCCTGTGCTATTGCTCACTTGGTGTACAGTCTTCAGTGCATCATAAATATTCCTCCAAGGCCACTTCCTATGAGGTGCTAAGTATCTTCATGCAATACTGAGGCAATGTAGAAACATTTCACAGAGGAAGCATAAATTTCCCCATCGGATATCACTGGTTCTCCCTACAACTGTTCCTTTAGTCAGGAATTGCATTTTTAGACTGAGGGAGCTGAAATATTAAATATTGAAATATTTAAAAGCAAGCAGTTCCCATCAGTGTCACACAAAGCAAACTGTAAATTTCTGCAGAAAGAAGGTCAGAGGTCTCCTTCATAACTCCTGATGGCCGACAAAATATCCAACCATAGCGAGGAGCACCAGAACCAATGGGGGACAACCCCAAACCTCCTTCACAGAAGCTTCTCAGCCACCCCAGAATGCTGTCAGACAAGGCAATAATTGCCTTATGGTAAATTGTCTTCTACTTTGAATTCTCTAACCAACACCATTTCTTTTCAAATATTGTATTTTATCTCAGAATGAAGTTTTGCATAAATTTTATTCAAAAGCTAGGAGATGACATTCTATGGGCTGGCCAATGCAAATTCCCATATCAGTAATAATAATAGCCCAAACTGACCTGAAAATACATATTTTTTTCTTGCTTTTTCTCTTTCCTAGCAGATTACAAACATGTCCAGGAAATCCACCCAATACAGCTTATTCATCAGACAGCAGTGTTTCCATTTTGGAGTGCACATCTGAGAAAAGCTGTTTTATTTAAATGGGAAGATAACAGAGCAGATTAATGAGTGTTTTTCTTCTTGCAAGCTTAGCAGGTGCAATTCGGTTCTGGCTAATAGGAAAATACTTGTCATTTATTATTTGAATTACTGTAGCACATCCAAATACAGAACAAGGAGTTCCCTGCACAGGGAGCCAGCCATCTATATAGGGCAAGAGATGCGTATGTATATAGACAGTCACTAAGTGCCAAGAGGACAATTTTGGTCAGCATAGTAAGATAAGTATTTTTGTTCTTAATTCTACTAAAATTGACATTCTATCTAAACATTTTAACAAACAAACAAACAAAACACAGATGCAGGTACACTCAGTATGTTTTCTAGGCTTGATCTCAGATTTTTTGTTAGAATTTTCAGTTACCTATTTTATAAGCCTATCTTCTTTTGGAAGCTCCCTCTTACTGATCACTGAATTTCACCACTGTCTAACAGGCCAACTTTATTTCTTTCTTCAACACTTCCAAGGAATTCTAATAAACTTGGAAAGCATATATTTCACTTACAAAATGTGGGCTATCTTCACCTACATCCTTTTCTAAGCATTATCTTAAACAGCCGTTTGGATCTGGAACTCACATTCTCTTTAAAAAAGCAAACACTCCTGCAACACAGTGCCACTGCTTTTATAATTCTACATCGAGGCAGTAACTTTTCAAACCTCTGCAACTGCTCACAGCCCGGAGATCTCACTTGTATTACTATAACTTCTGCCATTCAACATTTTAATTTTATTTTCCCTATACTCTCCTCCTAAAAAGTACCCCAGTCTGTTGCCCTAGGCTCGTACCACCACTGTCATGTTGGGCAGGGAGAGAAACCCTACAGACAACAGTATTGCAGCTGATTATTCTATTGATTATAGCTGACTGTAAGGGTACATTTGGATTGTAAAGCCCTACATGGAGTACAGTGTCCAGGCCTGAAGCCCCCAGCACAGGAAGAACATGGAGATGTTGGAGTGGGTCCAGAGGAGGAAACAAAGATGGTCAGAGGGCTGAAGCACCTCTCCTATGAAGACAAGCTGAGGGAGTTGGGTTTGTTTAGTTTGGAGAAGAGAAGGTTCCAGGGAGACTTCACTGTGACCTTCCAGTACATGAAGGGAGTTTACAAGCAGGAGGAAAATTGACTTTTTATACAGTCTGATAGTGGTAAGACAAGGGGGGATACTTTTAAACAAAAAGAGGGGAGATTGAGGTCAAATGTTAGGAAGAAATTCTTTACTCAGAGGGTAGTGCAGCACTGGCACAGGCTGCCCGGAGAGGTTGTGGATGCACCATCCCTGGAAGCATTCAAGGCTAGGTTGGATGGGGTCCTGGCTAGCCTCATCTGGCGGGGAGCAAACCTGCACAAAGCAAGTCACTTTCCCACACTACAGCATTTACACAGCCTGAATCATTCAGCAAGCTCCTATTTTACTAAGTTGGCCCACAGCATCAGAGGCAGATGCTGGTAGTATGGCAGCAGAGGCTGAACCTTCCCATCAATATTTCTTTACATTTTGTTGCTGTGCCACAGATCAACACTTACTGAATACTTCTGGAGGCCAAACAGTGGATGTGAGCACAGTGAAGGCAGCATGTGGCATGTTTCAGGTGACAGTGGGTCACCTCCACTGGTACACGAGTGTGGCATTCAGGCTCTTGTTCATCACTGGTGAAAATGCATGGCTAATGAAGGTGACTGTATCGAAACAGTGTTTTGTAGCTGAGACTTTGCTCTATCAAAAAAAATGTTATTATGTTCATTGTATCTGTTGTGGTTTCCATGGAAATAAATAGGAGGCATTACTTTCGGAGCGACCTACAAAAGCAGACTTTTAAGTTTTTCCCTCACCGTAGCGAAGTTTAAACCCCAGAATTAAGCCGCCGAGGTGCTGCTCCTGTGTGCTGGTTTTAGGACCTATAGAGGTCCCGGCAATTTATTCTCGTTTTGTTCAGGAGATCCTCTGGGATGTTTCGCCTCGACGGGATGGGGCTGAGAGAGACGCCCAGCTCCCCCCTCCCCACTCTGCTCTAACACTCCACGCCGTGCGCAGTGCCTTCAGCAGGGCAAATCACTGAGAACAATAAAAAATAAAAATCGTCCGAGGCGGGAAAGGCTCCGCCGGGGGGCTTCGCGGCCGGACCTCCTCTCGTAGAGCGGACGGGAGCCGAGCCGAGCCGCGCGCAGCCGCCCCGTCGACGCCAGAGCCGAGGCAGCCCCGCACGGAGCAGCCCAGCTCGGCGGCAAGGTAAGCCTCCGGCCGCACCAACGCACCCGGGGGGAGCGGGGCTGCGCAGCGCCGGGCGAGACCCGCCCTCCCGTCGAGCTCCCGGGCACGGCCGTCCCGTGACGGCAGCGGCACCGGGGCGCGGGCACGGCGGGCGGGAGGCGGGCGGCGGCGGGGCGGACGGCGGCGGGCTCGGCTCCCCCCGGGCGTGGCGGCGGTTGGTTTCTCCTGGCAGCGGAGGCAGGGCCAGGCGCGGGGAGGTGGGCGCGGAGTTAGCGGCGGCGGCGCGGAGTTGGCTCCGGGCGCGGGGCGGGAGCGGCGGCAGGAGGTGAGCGGCGGAGCTGCGGGACGGGGCCGCGGGACGGCTCCTCGGGCGGCACTCCGCGGAGCAGAGCGGGCAGCCCGGGACGGGAGCGGGCTCGCGCCTTTCGCTCCTCTTTGTGCTCCGCGCGCCGCGACCGGGGAGGAACTCTGTCGGCGGGGCCACGTGTGGCGGGCGGGGGGCGAGGCGCGGAGCCGCGCCGCCCTCTCGCTTTGCCCCCGTGCCGCGGCTCGCGCTCTCTCTCTCTGCGGGAAGCGGAGCGCGGCCGCGTGCGCTCGGCGGGGAAAGTTTGGTCCCGGGCCGAAGCGCCGCCTGCCCGCGGGGCGGGCGCGATGCCGGGGCGCGAGGCCGAGCGGCGCGGCGCGCTGTGCCTGGGGCTGCTGTTGCACGCCCTGCTGGGCTGCGGCTCGGCGCAGCCGCCCGCCGCCTGCCCGGCCCCCTGCGAGTGTTCGGAGGCGGCCAAGACGGTGAAGTGCGTGAACAAGAACCTGACGGAGGTGCCGCCCGACCTGCCGCCCTACGTGCGCAACCTCTTCATCACCGGCAACCGCCTGGACCGCCTGCCCGCCGGCGCGCTGTCCGCCCCGCGCCTGGCCGAGCTGGGAAGCCTCAACCTCAGCGGCAACCACCTGCGGGCCGTGGAGGCCGGCGCCCTGGCCGCCCTGCCCGCCCTGCGGCAGCTGGACCTCGGCGGCAACCCGCTGGCGGAGCTCAGCCCGCTGGCCTTCGGGCGGGCCGGCCCGCTGGAGGAGCTGGCCCTGCGCGGGGCCCTGCGGAAGCAGGACGCGCTCCTCGGCCTGGCCGCCCTGCTGCAGGCCGGGGCCCTGCGCAACCTCAGCCGCCTGGAGCTGGCCGACAACGGGCTGCTGCTGCTGCCCGCCGGCATGCTGGGCGCGCTGCCCGCCCTGCGGCACCTAGACCTCAGCAACAACTCGCTGGTGGGGCTGCGGAACGTCTCCTTCCAGGGGCTGGTTCGTCTGCAGACCCTCAACCTCAGCGACAACTCGCTGGGAGTGCTGCGGAACGGCACCCTGGCCCAGTGGCGCGGGCTGCCCGCCCTGCGGCGCATCAGCCTCAGCCGCAACACCTGGGTGTGCGACTGTGCCATCGAGGACATGGTGGCCTGGCTGAAGGAGAGCGACCAGGTGGAGGGCAAGGAGGCCCTGAGCTGCGCCTTCCCCGAGAAGATGGCGGGCAGAGCCCTGCTGAAGCTCAACGCGTCAGAGCTCAACTGCTCCACGCCCGTGGACGTGCCCTCCCAGCTACAGACTTCCTACGTCTTCTTAGGGATAGTCTTGGCTCTCATCGGGGCAATTTTCCTCCTGGTTTTGTACTTGAACCGAAAAGGAATCAAAAAGTGGATGCACAACATCAGAGATGCCTGCAGGGATCACATGGAGGGATATCACTACAGGTATGAGATCAACGCCGACCCCAGGTTAACAAACCTCAGCTCCAACTCGGACGTCTGACAGCGCCACGGCAGTGGCCGTGCACCATAGCTATGCATGACATATAGACTGATGCTTCGCCCTCGTGCTCGCTTCCCTCTCCCCAGAGAAATCTCGGACGTGCTCGCAGCATGAAGGGGATATGCCTCTGTGCGTTGCTCATTGCCACCCTCCCTTTGTTCCGAGACGCAGGGCAGCTGCGCATGGTGTTGCACTGTACGCAAGAAGCAAGCTGCTACTACTTCTCTTCCTTACCAGTTCTCATGGTGGGAAATTTTTTCAAGATCTCAAAAGGGAAAAGGATACTGTGCTACAAAGCCACCGGAGTTTATAACAGATACATATATACACACACACACAATTACCATTCAACAAAATCTGCCTCAACTTTTTGAGAAAAACGTTAAATCTCTGTGCCAGTTTTAAATCTTGTATATCTGAATTGTGATGACAATGTTTCCATTTCATAGACTTAACTTGGGATTTAGAAAAACAAAAAAAGCTCCTTTTAACAAGTCCTCTGTTACAAAGAAGGAAATCAAATAATGAGCATGCACAAATACTTCACAGTTTAACGTGTTAGGACACTTACAGTCTCAGTGAATCACTTACTATTTTGTACTGTAATTTTTGATTGCAGTTTACCTGAAAATGGATTTTTTTTCTATACATAAACTGCATCTAAACTCCATTTGAACTGTTCAATTCAATAAACAGTCTTGCAAGAACTTGTGTGGAAGTTTCCTGTTTAATGAGAAATGTATGGACATCTAAGAATGTTAATAACTTTATGGGCTCTGGAGTAATAGCCCTTCGGCAGTACTCCAAATAAAATCTTGTCTGTGTGTAGCTTCGAGATATAAATGTTGATGATGGTTTTGTGATGTACGCTTTAAGAATTACACTGATTATGACGAGAGTGGTTCCACTTGGCACAAAAGCCCTGGTCTGCTCTCTTGAGACAACTGCAAAACGTCAGGACGGATGTGAGGGTCTGTCTAGCTGGGAAGGTACAAGCTGAATTTACATTAGGTTTTCTCTACCATATTGAAAAACATTCAGATTAAATTGTGGAGTTGGTAAGCTAAAGAAAATTGTACCTGAATGGAATTGTTTTTTTAATAAAAGACATACTTGCAGATTCTGATTGAAATTGGATGCAGCTCAGTCTGTGAGCTTCAGACTTGTAAATCAGTGCAGCACTTAGTAAATTAAGTGCTTACTGTTTAATTTAAAACTCTCAATGCAGTCCTTTAGTGATTACATTGAGTAACTTGATGGAGCTTACATTTATCTTTAAACTTCTAGCAGGTACATTCAAGAATTGTATTATTTCTCATGCTTATTACTTGCTTGGGAATGCTTTGTCATGTAAATATATGAAGCATGCAAAGAAAAACTTGAAAAATGCATCATCTAATAAGTAATTCTGGTGGCTTATGAAAAGGTTAACAAGAACCTTTCAAACACCACTGATAATTAACGCACTTTTTCTAATACATTCATAGGTTCTTGATGAAAAAATGTACACCGAGTGTGAAAGTGTAATGTAAGTTGGTACATTTCAGTACAGTGGTGGAGCTTTTCTTGTGGTCACTGTTACTGGAAGCTCTCAAGAGTCTCTAAAATATTACGAGTTAGCTGCTAATTTCCTTCATTTTCAAAAGCTACAGTTTTTCTCATAGATATACACCTTTTGGTAAGAGCTCATAAATATAAAACAATCCTCAAGGTATCAGAAAATATGTAATCTATTCTGGGCATCACTATTATTCAAATGCATTTTTCTCTCCTTGTAACTTCAGACACTGTCAGAGCAAGTAGCACAAGTTGGTTCAGACTAATTTTCTATTGCTTTAAATGGGCTTTATTCAATACCAGCTATTTTTTTAATGTGCTTTTATACACTCGCCCTCAGAAGTAATAAAGAATATTAAGTACAGTTAATATTTTGATAAATCAATGTATTCTATAACTGATGTGAGTTAGCGATAGCCTATTTCTGCTGGTGTAATTTAAATGTATGAGCAATACCTGAATAACAGCATCTGAATTTAAGTCTGTGGATTCTTAAATTGCTGGCCTGAATGCTAGCTGCACATAATTTAAGGATAGTGTAAAAAGCCCAGTGTGGTTAATTATTACTGTATACTGTTCATACTTAGCATACATACAATAGTCCATGTAACAAGGTAGAGATTACAAAAGCTGTGCAGTGTGTCGTGTATTTTGGAGATTATCAGCTTACACTCATCTATACAGTACCAAGAGGAGAAAAGCGTCATCCTTGCTCCTGTAATATTATGGATAAAATGTGTACAACCAAGCCGTTTCTTGGGCAGTGTCCTGATTTTGGTAACATGCTTTCAAGTAATTGCAGTAGAAACCTATTATTTATAGTGTGTTAATGTAATAATCATGCATTTATGGAACTGTGTAAGGTTAGACAATGACTTGAATCACAGTCTGTCACCACTGGACTGAGTATTTGTATAGTGAGCAAGTGTAACTGTTGTACCACACTTCTTATTCTAAAGATAATTATTATTTTTGTATCATGGAATGTCTTTGTGATAGAGTTTTATTAGAGACTTGGTGATGGCTACTTTGAAATATTTCTTTCCCGCTTGCTTACATGTACACTTAATTAGGATGTAACAGTAAGCATGTGTCAATATTGTTTTGGATAACATTCTCCTGCAGTGTTTGGCTGACAGTGAATGCCTTGGTGTTTTGTACAATGCACTTAAATCCCCTTCTATAAACAGTGCTTGAAATCTGTTATCCCATCCTATTACAAAATAGGTGTGGTGGCACTCGGAAGACATTTAAAAAATAGCTCCCAAAGTGCTTCAGAGCTTGGTTTAAAAGTATGTATTTAAAATAACATCAATTTAAGGGTTCTTCTGAAGCACATTTTATAATCCTATTCTGCTTTGACACCTAAAACATCAATTGATTACTATTTCTAGAGCAGCTTAATTAGCCAGGCTGTTTTATTCATACATTCTTCAATAAAACACGTGCAGTACTAAATGCCTCTAAAATGTGTTTTGTATACATAAAACCCCAGAGTGCTCCGTGGTGCAGTTGTCATTGATGTTTCATGGAAAACATAAAGCAGAGGGCAAATCTGCAGGGAAGGCAACGCAAGTAAGAAACAAAAATGAGGGATTATCCAAGGGTCAGCTGCCCTCTTAAAACTGGTTGTAGTTGTAATGAGCCTAAAACTTCCTCAGAGGAATAGTGCAAGGGTTTGAAGTAGTTCTAATGCATTTTGTTTAAATGTTTTCACTAAGCACTGTTGCCAATTAAACAAGAAAATTTTCTAAGTCTTCCTTTACTGAAGGTAGCTCAATGTTAGTTCACCTGATAAATCTTACTCTCAGCAAGCCAAAATATTCCATATATTTTTTTACATGCAAAAAGTAATTTGAAGCCGTATGTAAGTACTTTAAATCTTTTTGTTCTGGGTGATTTACCTTTCAGGAACTGGTGGCATTCCCCAGCGACACGCTGTCTGGTGAAGCAGCTTGCTCAGACCCGCGTTCAGTTGTTGACTGAGATGTTGCTAAAGACAGGCATGACAAAATACTCACAGTACAACTGCACTAAGATCCCAACTCATTATTCTACCAGCATTTTTCCTTATGGTATACTCTGCTCTTTATGCATCTACTTAATTTCTTCTTTGCTTCATTTTCCCAAGAAATCCATTAAAAGGAGCATGATAATAAATCTGCATGGGTAGAGAAATCATTCTGACTGCACCTGTATCTGTGGTTTAGCATCTTCATTTCCCTTTACATCTTAGCATGAAAAAGAGCCTTTTTCAAGGTGGACAGAGTAAAATCTGATATGAACTTTAGCAGCTGAATGTTGAAGAAGAACCATTCATTCTGAGTATGTGATGAAGGAAAATAGCATTTGGTAAGAAAAACATTTCAGTTTCAAGCTTCCAAATGGCATTTATATTTTTAAGAGAAAGTTGAAGGGAGAAGCTTATAAGGCAAAAAGTTAACAGCACTGAAAATCTCAACACTATTGCCAGGAAAAATCACTGACTGATTTTGTCTTTTATGTTGAGGTCATATTTTATGGATATAGCTCTAATTTCCCCTGTTGCTATAAATAGAAATTTTGCTATCAGGCAAAGTCACGTCCTATAATATTTGTAATGCAAGTGTTTCTAGTGTGCATTTTTTTGTGGGGTATAATAGACGGTGGAATTCGATTTGGTGTCTGCTGATTTAATAACGGCTAGATCAGGCCCTCTACATAATGCTCTGTTTTTGTAATCATGCTGTTTACTAGTTGCAAAGCCCTTGACTTGAAATCAAACAGCAAAAGCCCACCAAGGCAGAGGGGAAGGCAGTCCGCTTAGGGAGTATGACATTTATTAGATATTCCATACATGCTCAGAGAAGAGACGTAAACCTTGCAGGAGCCGAGGGTCCTTTGCTGATGCAGAAGTAAGTGTGTTACGGTGACTTCTTGAGATAATTGAGCAGCAGCAGGAAAGTGGTGCCTTGTACCAAGTACATAACAGCACTCCTCTTCCAGCTTGGAAAAAAATAATAACATAGGCTTATCAAAGTACAAATACAGGTTTGCTATGCCAGAAGTCATCTGTAGCGTAGGCAAAGCTTGAAATTGGGCTCGTGTTCCCAAGTAGAAGTAGGGAACTATTAAAATCATTTAAATGGTGCTCTAGGCACTTTTTGTATTTCAGTAATCTACTACTTGCAATTACTTATATTTTTCAAAGTGTTCATTAGATAGCTTTTCCTTCCTGATGACAGAATAACAAAATAACAGAACATATTTGTTTTCTAGTAATTATGCATGAAAGCATCCAAATAAATTAGCAAATGTTTCAGTGTATAGAGTGATGAAAATGTTAGAAATCTATCTAGCATTCTAGAATATTGCACTACTCTAGGAATTTTAGATATGCAAGATACTGCTGTGAATTTCTCAAATTGAAGCTGTACTTCATAATTAAAATGATACTTCAGTAAATGAAAATGTATACCAGATAACTTATAAATGATATGTGTTCAGTGTGCTAATTTAATTACTGTAAATCCTTGTAGATATTGAGATCCTTTCTGTCATTTTCTTTATAGCTCAAACTGATTATTGTACTGTGAATTTGCATGACACAATAGTGGAAAAGCAACTTCCATCTAGATAGCACAATTATTTTCTTTAGAAAGAAATTTAATCAGCTAATTTAAGGGATTGTGGTTTAATCACTTATTATTTTGGACATAATTTGATAGCGTTTTTTGTTAAAGTATGCCATATTGACTTGCAAGATGGGTGCAGATTCTAAATTTAACAGCGATGCACTTTTATTTTTCTTATTGTCTGGATCAAACTGTATTTTAAAGTCTTCAAATATGTATTTACGTAGTGAAATACAGAGGCAGTCTTATTGACAGCATGAATTTTATAAGTGTGATGGAACTATTAAAGGAAAGCGTTGCTGAAACAAAATGAAGGATAAAAACAGCAGTCTGGGGGCAAACTATCTTGTTCTTTCTAATGCAAATATTTAGATTGTGACTATATGGAAATTCAAAAGAATGGATGCTTCTTTTTATTTTAGATAGCTATTGTAGACCTGTGATATTCTAGTAGGATGGAGCAGCTTTACGGTGCTGTCCCAGGAGCATACCTGGTGACTTGGTTGCCTGTGTATCTAAGCTGTTTGCTGTTACTGTTGTTTTTTTTTTTTTCATATTGTCAGAGACACCTAACAGGGTTGGATGTTAAGTTCGACAGGGAATTGGCTGATCTATCCCAGACTTTATCTTCGTATGGCTGATCTGTCTCAGTATCAGTCCACAGCCTACTTTAGCTACACCATTTGTTCCAGTGTAAATTTTGTCTGTGGCATAGCCTGTACCTTTTGCATGTGATTATATGGTATCTGCGTGCAATCATGGGCATTTATGTAATAAAGAATCCATTTGTCAAATTGGCATTATCAAATATCACACAGATGTTTTCATAGAATCACAGAACGGCTCGGGTCAGACTGTAAAGGTCACCCAGTCCCAGCCCCCTGCCACAGGCAGGGCTGTCCTCTACCAGCTTAGGCTGTCCAGGGCCCACCCAACATGGCCTTCAGTACCTCGAGGGATGGGACACCCACAGCTCTGGGCAGCTGTGCCAGCACCTCACTGGCCTCGAGTAAAGAACTTTTTCTCACATCTAACCTGATTTTTCGCACTTTCAGTTTAAAGTCGTTCCCCCTTATCCTATCACTACTAGACTGTAAAAAAGCGCTCCCTTCAAGTACTGGAATACTGCAGTGAGGTCTCCTCAGGGCCTTCTCTTCCCCAAGCTGAACAAGCCCAACTCTCTCAGCCTTTCTTAGTATGAGAGGTGTTCCAGCTCTCTATCCACATCATTTTTTATATAAACAAATACATAATGTAAATGTAGGAGACTGAAGAATAGGAAAGTCTGGTCAGAGCCACCGACCACTTTCTGTTGGCTGGTATAGGTGCCTGACTTTTCCCACATGCTGCACAGGGGTGTCAGGCACCCACATGAAGCCCTTAAGGAACTCTGGGTCTCATACCTCAGCTTGCTGTGCACCTCGTGCTGGTGTTGATGCTGAGTTGGTGCTGAGCAGACCAGGCTTTCTAAAGACCAAGATTTTCAAAGGGAGCAGGGTCTGCTTTCAAAGGCTTCATATTCAAAGCTGCTGAACACCTTTTGGGAAGTCGCACTGCTGGTTGTTTTAAGGTAAATTGAACTAAATGTAGAAAAAAATGTTCAGTGTGTAAAGGCAAGTGTCTGGTATATACTTGAGTGACACTGTAGATACTTGCAAGAGCTTTCCAGATTCCCTAGTCTTTGCGCTCTGATGGATTTTTGATTCAGTGAGGTCTCCATAATGCTTCTGTGCAGAATATCCCCTCATCCAGCTGATGATCAGAGAATTGGCTCCAACACCTGGCTCCACACAGCACCACACAAAATTCACCCCTATAACTGAAAGCACTGTCCAAACACTCCTTGAACTCCAGCAGCTCAGGGCTATGCCCATCGCCCTCTGGTGCAGACCCTGTTCCCAACCCCCAGCTGTCCCTCCCCTGACACAGCTCCACGCCGTTCCCTCGGGCCCTGTCGCTGTCACAGAGGGCAGAGCCCAGCACTGCCCCTCTGCTCCCTGTGAGGAGCTGCAGCCGCCATGAGATCTTACTCATCTGTAAGCTAAATACTGCTTTGCAATCACATCTGTGTTGTGCCAAACTTGATCACCTTGGTAAGCAAAGACAAAATTCCTGTGAATGAAGTTAAATAAAATCAAATCTTGAAGGTTTGTCACTAATCAAATTAACATAGGTGATGTCTGTTATTATGTTTTCACACAGGTTTTCTCTTGTCCTGTTTGCCCTTTTCCATTCAGTTTTCCAGCACACCAGAAGCTCCCATGGCAGCCCAGAGGCATACTCTGATTCTAATTTCCCCTACTGAAAAAGAACATTTTAGTTTGAGAAGACAATCTAGAAAAAAAAAAAAAAAAAACTTGCAGAAACAGTGCTCAAACTTTTCTGACACCCAGGATAGTAAAATGGCACTGAAAATAGCTCCAGTAACGTAGCCTTCATTTGTCAGAAATCCTACATACGCAGAAAGAAAAGGAGTGCTGAATTTGCAGTACAGATGTATGTGCTATATAAGTGGATCAGGAGACCTGGCACAACAGCTCACTGAAGTGTGGCTCTCCTCCTCACAGCCTTCACACACCTCAAGAACCTCAAGAAGGGCTCAGGTGGGTTTGGGATAGGCATAAGCAGACCATGGTGATCTGCATTAGTGCAAAAGTGATTTTTCAGGCACATTAAGAAAGAAATTCCAGTGCTTGTAAGTCTTAACACAGAAGCAAACTAGCTGGTATGAGCCTGGTTTCATAACTTATCTGTAAAAACAAAAAATGCTCTAAATTTGAATTTGCAAGGAACAGATGTCTTTCCGCAAGCCTGAGTGTAAATTCATCAGGATTTCCAGTTTAATCCAGGATATAATGACACAGAAATGTATTGCAAACAAAGGAATGACTTGTTTTTCCTGTAGCTCTGCAGGCTGTGGAGTGCACACTGTACAGAACAGCACAAGGTGTTGCACACTGCAGGTTTCCAGGGAGACAGTTACAATCCAGTAGGGGTTACTGTTGTTCTTAATAAAGCACTGTAGATTTTGTGGTTTTAGCAAATTTTCTGATTAAAATCACACAGATAACATATAGACTTGATAAATGACACCCGAGTAACATGATTTAACCTATTTCAAACAAGCACATATGATGCTACAGTTTGCAAACTTAAAGCAAATGATGAATGGGTTTCCGACAGCTAGAATTGTCATTTTAAGCACCAAGAAAAGACTTTAAAGGAAGTATTAGTTGCTTCAGACTGACCCTCTCTTCTAGTTGATACAGCAGGCAAGAGAGGGTGTTCAACAGAACAAATTGCGTAAGAGAGAAGGCCAAAAGCCTCATGTAATGTCAGCTGTTCCTGCACTTACAGGGAAATGATGTAACGGTAAGGATACTGAAGCAGAGGAAGACACTCTTTCTTTCAGAAGTTTCAAGTTATTAGGTTTATTCAGAGTTTTATTTTGTTGGAGCTGTAACCAGCTCACACATCAGCATATAACCTAGCTCAGTGGCAAATATCAGTACCGAGATATGCTATAAATTCCCCTTCCATTACAATTATGCTGCACTCCATGCCTCCCAGGCACACCTCAAGCAGTAGCTGTTCTCTCCTTCCCTCCCAAGGGGTGTGTGTACTGTCCAAAGGACAGCCTCTGCTCTGTGTTCTGGAAGGAAGCTGTAAGCAAGTTCAAGCACCTTGTACTTAACACAGAAGGCTGATTAGTTGTGTGATACTTCCTAATTCCTGGAGGAATAAGTTCCTTTGGAAAGTCTGCTGCCTTTTTGGAGAACGTTTTGTCTCCTGTGCAAAAAGCCTTTTGTCTGTATCAGGAGAAGTAGTTCAGTGAGACACATTCTTCTCCTCTTTAATTTAGTCCTAAGCGTTGATCTTTCCAAAGGAATATAGTAGTCTTAAAATTTTCTTTTGCGTTCCAAAATAGAACATAAGCTGCTCATAAATTTAGTGAGGCCCATAGGAAAATAGTTATTTAGAAACAGTGAAAAAATATGGAGTGCTAAGCTTTGTGCTGTGCGGGGCCATACCCAGAGCTGCCATCTCCTACTGGCTGTGTCCCTCTCTCCTCCCATCAAAACCACTCTTCCTACCTGCCAAACCTTTATCTTAGGTTGGAGGAGACAGGAAGTCTCTAACTCAAAGCTGCCAGCCAGCCGCTTCTCCCCTCGTGTTGGTGCTGCAGAGAGCAATTGCACACAGAGGGCTTATTCCCAGCTGTGGTTGCAGCTTACCAGAGCAGCTCATGCTGCCCAATCCTGCCCTGTGAGCCAGTTGATATCCCAGCCACACAAGTTTCATCTCCTACCCTCCTGCACACGCAGTATTTGAAACTCAGGGCTGCTCCTGTGTCCTCCTGCATCAGATAAAATTCAGCATGTGCCAATCCAAATTTTGCAGCTGCTTGAGGTGTTCAAGGAGAGCAAGGGTAGACTGGAGGTGTGAGGGCAACTTCATCACCTCAGCAACTGCCCTCACTTTCTTTAAAATAAAAGAGGAAAATATCCCCATCCCATGCCTTTTTGTTCTTCATATCTTCATCTCGTAAAGAGACAAGTAAATAAATCTCATTTTACACCTTTTCAAATTCTATACAGAATCGTTAACATTGGAAAAGATCTCTAAGACCACTTAATTGAACCGCAACACCCACCATGCTCACTGTGTCCCTCAGTGCCACATCCACACAGTTCTTGAATACCTCCAGGATAGTGACTCCACCACCTCCCCAGGCAGCCTGTGCCACTGCCTCACCACTCTTTCTGAGAGTATCAACACACTTGTGTACGTATATACGTACTATACATATATACACACACATTTACATGACGCATTTTAAAACGTATTAATTTTTACTGGTTTTATATATGCATGAAAACGCATGCTCCCTGTCCTCAGGTGGGGCTGGACATGCAGTTCTTGGGAGAAATTAATAATTCTGTTTTATGTTCAGGCTTTTGTGTGGTTTTTTGTTTTTGGTTTTTTTTGTTTGTTTGTTGGGAAAAAGAAATAATAAACGTTAAGCCTTAGAGCTCATAATTGCAGTAAAGTTTTGTAATAACCATTTCTGAGAATGGGAATGGTAGTGCAGGTTCAGATGGCAATTTTTAGCATCCATTATATCTTGTGAGTAGCTTTAGAATTCATAACTTGTAAAACAGTCAGAGAGAAGCCTATCCTGGGTGACTAGTTTAGCACAAAACACTCCCTTGCCTCCTCTTGGTTTTTATTGCTTCTTCAGCACCGAGATGCTGCCAATATTTTGACATTTTTTTCCTCCTAAAAATCTGTGTAGCTCTGTCTGACTGTGTGCCTTCAGAGAAAAAGAGCAAGGGATTGGGATATTCTTGCATTTTCTTGTCAAAACAAAGACAGGATAATTACCAGGAAACAATATAATTTGCCAGTAGGAGAGCAGGTATGCCTGATATGAGTATTTATGCTCGGAGGACGAGTATCAGCATGGTTACTGCTTTATTCGGGCATAGCATTTTCTAACTGGGAAAGGTGAGTTTCAGTTTTCAAGTGTGACAGAGGAGAAAGGTACCTATCTCCAAATGTGATTTCAAGACACAGCATTGCTCTTACCATGCATTACCCCAGTGCTGGGAGGTGGAGGATAGGACTCTGCATGAAGCCAATGCTTCACAGCTCTCCAGAGCCACCCAAGGCTGCTCCACAAATAGCGTGGCTGTCCTTCATCCGGGGCCAGTATGCTGGGCCTGTGATGCTAGCTACCCCTTATGATCAGAAATCCTGGCTTTGTAGCTATCTTAGACAGCAAATGGAACA